GACACTTTAGCCATTCTTTCAACTTTCTTTGCACTTTTGTTATCTCTGATCACAGTTCTGGTGCTGGGAATCTTCATTAAGCACCGGGACACAGCCATAGTCAAAGCTAACAACAGAAGCCTCACCTACATTCTCCTCATCTCCCTCCTCTTCTGTTTTCTCTGCACCTTGATGTTCATTGGAAAGCCTAATGAGGTGACTTGCCTTCTCCGACAAACTGCTTTTGGTATAATATTCTGTGTGTCCATATCCAGCATCTTGGCCAAAACGGTATCTGTGGTTTTAGCATTCATGGCCACCAAACCAGGATCTAGGATGCGGAAATGGATAGGGAAACAATTGGCTTTTTCCATAATTCTATCCTGCTCCCATATTCAAGTAGGGATTTGTGCTCTTTGGTTGGCAACTTCCCCTCCATTTCCAGATTTAGATTCACACACAATGCTTGATCAAATTGTACTCTTATGTAATGAAGGGTCAGTCACCATGTTCTGCTGTGTCTTAAGCTACATGGGTTTCCTGGCTATTGTCAGCTTCACTGTAGCCTTCCTAGCCAGAAAATTACCTGACAGTTTTAATGAAGCCAAATTCATCACCTTCAGTATGTTGGTGTTTTGCAGTGTTTGGCTCTCCTTTATTCCAACTTACTTGAGCACACGAGGGAAATACATGGTAGCTGTGGAGATCTTCTCCATCTTGACTTCCAGTGCTGGGTTACTGAGTTGTATATTTTTTCCAAAATGCTACATTATTGTGGTGAGGCCTGAGTTGAACAATAAAGGACATCTGATACGAAAAAAGATATAAATGAGAGAATATTTTGTTGCATCCTATGTAAGAATAAATTGCACCAATTTAAGGTTTTGTTATGTGAAAAGCTTGCTCTTTCTTTTAATTGAAATAGACTGTGGGAGAAATTTCAAATTGCCAACATTGACTGCAGAATTCTGCTATTGATCCAAGAACTATACTGCAACAAAGAAATAAGGCTCAGATTAGGTTTAAATGGTTGTATTAATGATGCGTTTAAAATGCCTTAAAGATTGCATTCTGGTTCCCACTCTTTTTAACTTTTATATTAATGATTTTGTGTCATATTTAGGCAATGCAAACTCCCCTTCTCATGTAATTAGGAGCAAAAAGACCTCAATATCGATATATGCTGATGATTTATTGCTCCTCCCTCATTTCCATTTAGGTCTCTTAGAGGTGTTCATCACATACTGTAAACAGGAAAGCCTATCTATAAATTACTCTAAGACCAAGATTGCGATTTTTGGCATACAGAATCCTAGGACGTGGGTGGTGCTGTGGTCTAAACCACTGAGCCTCTTGGGCTTGCCGATCAGAAGGTCAGCCATTCAAATTCCCGTGGCAGGGTGAGTTCCTGTTGCCTGTCCCAGCTCCTGCTAACCTAGCAGTTTGAAAGCATACCAGTGCAAGTAGATAAATAGGTACCGCTGTGGTGGGAAGGTAAACAGCTTCCGTCATTGCTGGGACAATCAGAATAAGGTCCACTATTTGATTGCTGATTCAGGACCTTAAACTGTGCTTTATATAAGTGACTTTTTATTTTTTTCTGTGTACATCCCAATGTTCTTTTGTTGCTGTGAACGATAGCTGATGCAAATAAAGTTTCATTTATTCAGCTTTTGTCATGGTGTTCCATTGCTCAAGAAGCAGTTTAGAAATGCTGGCCACATGACCTGGAAAGCTGTCATAGAATCATAGAATCATAGAGTTGGAAGAGACCACAAGGGCCATCGAGTCCAACCCCCTGCCAAGCACGAAACACCATCAGAGCACTCCTGACATATGGTTGTCAAGCCTCTGCTTAAAGACCTCCAAAGAAGGAGACTCCACCACACTTCTTGGCAGCAAATTCCACTGTCGAACAGCTCTTACTGTCAGGAAGTTCTTCCTAATGTTTAGGTGGAATCTTCTTTCTTGTAGTTTGGATCCATTGCTCCGTGTCCGCTTCTCTGGAGCAGCAGAAAACAACCTTTCTCCCTCCTCCATATGACATCCTTTTATATATTTGAACATGGCTATCATATCACCCCTTAACCTCCTCTTCTCCAGGCTAAACATGCCCAGCTCCCTTAGCCGTTCCTCATAAGGAATCGTTTCCAGGCCTTTGACCATTTTGGTTGCCCTTCTCTGGACACGTTCCAGTTTGTCAGTGTCCTCCTTGAATTGTGGTGCCCAGAACTGGACACAGTACTCCAGGTGAGGTCTGACCAGAGCAGAATACAGTGGCACTATTACTTCCCTTGATCTAGATGCTATACTCCTATTGATGCAGCCCAGAATTGCATTGGCTTTTTTAGCTGCCGTGTCACAGTGCACTGTCTGTGGACAAACACCAGCTTCCTTGGCCTGAAAATGAGATGAGTGCCGCACCCCATAGTTGCTTAACTATCCAGGGGTCCTTTGCCTTTATCTTTACCAGATTTATGGCAACCCTTTGTAGATTTTTAAAAAAGCTCAACAATCTTGGCCTCCCAAAAAACTTTGCCCAAAAAAGTGCTGCAACTTTTGTGTTTGGATTTTATCTTTTTGAAACATGGCAGTCCTAGTATAGTTGCCGCTTGGATCAGCAGGCTATAGAACAAACTTACTTATTTACGTACCTGGGTGAATGCATTAATGAGCCCCTCTCTTGGAAATGCCATATGGAGGCAATGTTGAAGTTCTATTAAAATCAGATAGGTCAGCTGTTTGAACCTGCCTTCAAGGTATTTGGTAGCAAAGTGCTTACTCAAATGCTCTATATGGAGTTGAAATATGGGGCTATGATTCAAACGCCACTAAAAATGTTGTGGGGATTTGGAGGACTTCACATGAAGGAAGCACATGAAGAAGGGCCTCAGATGATGTACACAGAGTGTTGCTGAAGAAAGAAAAATCTTACACATTGTTATGTAGATGAGGCAGATATTGAATTGATCTTTTCCTCATAGAATAGAATCATAGAATCATAGAGTTGGAATAGACCACAAGGGCCATCGAGTCCAACCCCCTGCCAAGCAGGAAACACCATCAGAGCACTCCTGACATATGGTTGTCAAGCCTCTGCTTAAAGACCTCCAAAGAAGGAGACCCCACCACACTTCTTGGCAGCAAATTCCACTGTCGAACAGCTCTTACTGTCAGGAAGGTCTTCCTAATGTTTAGGTGGAATCTTCTTTCTTGTAGTTTGGATCCACTGCTCCGTGTCCACTTCTCTGGAGCAGCAGAAAACAACCTTTCTCCCTCCTCTATATGACATCCTTTTATATATTTGAACATGGCTATCATATTACCCCTTAACCTCCTCTTCTCCAGGCTAAACATGGCCAGCTCCCTCATAATGTAGCCTTGTTTTTAATTTCCTTAGTAGCGGCTGGATTACCGGTAGCTCTCTTTGGGTATCACAATACAACAAACAGTGTAGAAGAACATGCCTGATAGATTCAATCTCAACAGAGCTGCATGGGCATAATCTCTGTTCCGATTAGATGTCGTGACATTTGCCCTGTAATAGTGCTGAAGGGAGAACATTAAAAATGGAATCTGGAAAATGCCCAATGATGTTTAGGGTTGTCTAGTGCACTTAAGTAATTTTCTGGGTGTGATCTTTGAGGTTCGTGTAATGATTTATTAATTTTAGAGGATCGGTTAAGAATCTTGTCTTCAAAGTTTAACTGAATATGTGATATGTACCAAGACCATCATGCTGCTTACATATAATAATTAATTAAATGAATGAGTGGAAACTGACAATTCCCCATGGGCAATAATTTGATATTTTGTGAGACTTGCATTGAACATCCCAATATTTTTATATGTTTCTTTATTTATTAAATGTTTTGTCTACCACATTTTAATTAAAAAAATAAATGTGGCTTAGAACAATTCTAATAAAATTCAAGAACAACACAAAAAATAAAACAAATTACCAAACAACATATATTTTCTTAACTGTCTGCATAAACCTGGCAACAGAGAAAAGTATTTAACAAACATTTTGAAGTTTGGTCCCTCTGAATCACTATTGCAAGAGTATTCCACAGGAGTGGGCGAATTACACTAAAGGCTATGCAATGCCACTTTCAACTCAATATATTAAACCTTCAAGGGAAAACTGCTTATTCCGTTCTTCCTTTCTGCTATAAAATTTCAGTTAGGGCAAACTCTCATTCTACTCCCAGGTCTGGCCACATACTCAGTGACTTAATAAGTTGTACTGTAATATAATGAAGGGTCATTCACTATGTTTTGTTCTATTTTAGGGTTATATTTTAGCTTCACTGTGGCCTTCCCAACCAGGAAGTTGCCAGAGCTTTTTAATGACACCAAGTATATCAACTTGGGCATACTTGTCTTTTGCATTGTTTGACTCTCCTTTGTTCAAACTTATTTCAGCAGAAAAGGAAAATACATAATTAGTGAAGAAACATGGTTTGGGCAGCAATTAATTTTCAGAAGCTTTTTCAGAGGCTGTTCAGAGGATATAATTGTAGAAATGTTTGCCTTCCCTATAATTATCAGAATAACTGTTATCAATTCACCTTCAGGAGGCTGTTGGGAGCAGGGGGAATCAAGAAGCAAGTCTGAAATAATATGTGCCCCAGTGTTCTTTAGTCATCTAAGATTAGGGAGGGAAGAGAGGTGGGCTCTGTCCTTTTGACGAGTTTTGCTCTTTCATTATCAAACATCAAAGGGTAGCTCTCAGTTCCCATTCAATGAATGCTTCTGTAATGCTGTTGTGGTCAAAGACAAAGCAGAGAATTATTTCCTTCAGGAGACAGCATCAGCTGCCTCCTAAGCCATATAGTTCAAATGCACAGGTGTTTCCCAGCAGAATATACAGTTCACAAATGCCTGAGAAATCAGCCAGGCCAGATGGCCCCATACAGACCTCAGAGAGGAACATATGGAACAGCCTGAGAGCCACTTCTGACACCACGTTTCATCCAATCAGGCTTCATGCAATTGGGATGTGAAAAAGGTGCACCATGGAGACCAGAAGTAGAGGGAGCTTTCTCATCAACATGTTGCTGCTGCTCCCAAACATGGTTTGCAATGTGGACTGTGTTAAGTGCTCCACAACTGATTCTGTACATGTTCCGCATGCGTGGCACGACCCTGGTGATCTTGCCCTCGGTGGGATAGTATCTCATATCGATTATGTATTTCCCAGCTTTTTGTTCAACATGCATCCTTCTCAGGAGTCAATTAAACTCCCCTTGTAAGAAATTCTATCTCTGCACAACGTTCTTAAATTTAGTTATAACAATTCTGTATGTTTGTAAGATGAATTGAAAAATACTTGGGCAAAGTAGCAGTAACACTCTTAACTTTGGAAATGTAGAGGGGGTTTTTTAGTCAGGAGAGTCATTTTGTTAAAACAGTTTGGAGTCATAAAGCCCTTCTTGATATACAGTGGTACCTCAGGTTACATACGCTTCAGGTTACAGACTCCGCTAACCCAGAAATAGTGCTTCAGGTTAAGTACTTTGCTTCAGGATGAGAACAGAAATCGTGCTCCGGCGGCGCGGTGGCAGCAGGAGGCCCCATTAGCTAAAGTGGTGCTTCAGGTTAAGAACAGGTTAAGTACGGACCTCCGGAACGAATTAAGTACTTAACCCGAGGTACCACTGTACTTCACATCACCCACAGACTTACCTGCAGATTCTCATCCTTCTCTACATGTCAGAAGCACACTAGTCTTCAAAAAGGTCCTTGGATTTGACTAATACCTTTTCTCTGTCCAAACGAATTTTGTTTTTATTTGTTGGAAGCCGCCGAGAGTGGCTGAGGTAACTTTTGCTCTGTCCAAGGTATTTTTCTGTTTTGGGTTTCCATGCTGCTGGATAAACCTCCCTGTTTCTACTACTGTGCAGTATTATTGATTTTATAAATTGGTTAAATCCTCCATCTTTACATTTTCTAAAAGTCAATAGATACACCGAGTGGAATATCAATTTAGCATTATTTTCTTGTCAGATAATTTCTGAGTAACGTTAGTGTGTCAATTAAACAGTTAATCAAGAGCCAGCAAAGTATATCAAGTAGCATGGAAGACTATGACTGGTGAGATCTGAGTACAAATCTCTATTCAGAGATCAATCACCATATTTCATAGCCTGCACCCAATGGGTTGCCCTGAACATGAAGCTGGGGTGGAGGGGAGAGTACAATGCAGGAAGCATTAAAAAATATATAGCAAAGGCATAAGATGGGTGCCAAGCTCTGGAAAGCAAGATTGAAACAGATTGCTTTCATTGTCGTCTGGGCAGCCCAGAAGCCCCATACACACTGCCAACAATCTCAAATCACAATCCAGCAAAAGGCAGTCACAACACACTATCCTCCTTTCCATTAGAATTGAGTTTCCTCATTGTGCTTCTTCCTTATCTAAGCAGTCAAAGACTGATATAAAATGATCAGGTGTCCTCTTTAATTCTCTCATGAAATATCAAGTCACTTTATTTGCAGCGTGGTGACCAAGTTCTACCAGCACATCCTGGCCTTGGTGTTTGCGATTGATGAGATCAACGATAATCCTAAGATCTTGCCCAATATCACTCTTGGGTTCCGCATCTATGACAGCTACTCCCATTCAAGGTTGACGTATCGGACCGTTCTAGATCTGCTTTTTAAATCGCATCATTTCATCCCCAACTACAAATGTGGCATCCAGGAAAATGTAATAGGAGTCATTGGAGGACTGAGCTCTGATACTTCTTTATGCATGGCAAACATCTTGAAGCTTTACAAGATTCCACAGGTAGGATTTGGGGAGAAATGGGTTTCCCCCAAAATCTCCCTTATAAGGCACACTTCTACTGTCTTTCCAAGAAGAATCTGATGATTCGGGAATATTGAGCAGTATTGGGGTGGGACGGTGGGACACAATAGCTGCATTGGCATTGAGTGCTGTACGGGTTTGGGTGGGGCTTGGTCCCAACAGCGTGTATTGGATATACAGCCAGCTGGCAATTTACACATATTTCACATGCACCCATTGAACTTTGTTTTGGCTATACACAATTTGGGCTTTAGGCATGAACCCCTTACACCATGTAAGTTTTGGGCTTGCTCTATGTGTAGGAGAATTTCTCCACTGATGATAGAAATGAATATCCACGGGGAAATTTAATGACGTCTGATTCTTCATGTGTGTCTCAGAGGAAGGGAATATTGTCATAGTAAGAACACTATGGAGACAGAGTACTATAAGGAAATGAATAGTAAAATGAGAACATGTAACTGTATTAAATTATGAACAAATAATGATGTTTCTTTATTTATTAAACAAATGTATATTGGTGCATCTAACTCCAGCTAGTAAGACAGCAGGAACCTTTCTGTATCAGGAAATGTTTTAATACATTCCTATCCTCAATGGTGAATTACTGCAATGCACTTTTATTTTGTCTGGAGACTGTAACTACTACAGAAAATGATAGCGACCACAAGCTTATGATTCTATGTCTGTGAGACATATGTCTGTGATACCAATCTCCTACTGGGCCAGGTTTAAAATTCTGGAAATAAAATATAAGGCCCCATACACCTTGGGACAAGATTGCTTGAGAATGATTGCCTTAAATAGCCAATATCAACATACAAAGACCCTTGCTAGTTCAGGCCAAACACCAATCTCATCCAGACGTCTATTCTCACCGTGGCCAACTAGATGCCAATGAGAAATCTGCAAACAGACTCTGCACACAACAGCACTCTTCACAAATGCAGTTCTCACCAGCTGCTATTAAGATAGATACTGGCTCCAAAATACCGTATATTGTCAGATACCCAGAAACCCACTTCAAACAGGAGCAGCGCTTACAGTGAGACTATTTCTCTTTTCTGTTGAGATATGACAGGTACCCAGTATTGGAAATTTGAGGGAGAAATTAATGCATTTTTGTTGCAAGATACTAAAAATGAAAAATAGGTCTCTGACATGGCTGCTTATTTGTATTGATTGAAATCACTCTTTATTGCTGCTGCTGTGTGTGTTTTGCATTGTTTCTAATTTTATTTTCAGTTCATTTTATAGTAACATGGTTAATTGCCTTGAGATTTATTGGAAGGAAAGACATGAATTCAGATCACAGTCATCTCCTAAAGCCACTCTAAAATGTCTGCCATTTTCTTTTAGATTTCCTATGGCTCATTTGAATTATCAGTCAATGATCAATTCAAATTCTCTTCCTTTTACCGCATGGTTCCCAATGACCGTCTCCAGTGTAAAGGAATTATCCAATTACTTGTGTATTTCAAATGGACATGGGTAGGTCTTATTGCAACAGATGATGAGGGTGGAGAATATTTTTTGCAAACTATAGAACCAATGCTTTTCCAGAATGGAATCTGTTCAGCATTCACAGAAAGAAGCGTAAAAAATGTGCATTTCTCTGATGACATGCTGAAAATGCTTGCTGACGTACGAATAGTTGAACCACCTTTCCTGAAGAACAAAGCCAAGGCTGTTATTGTATATGGAGAAAATCAAGCCCTTGAATGGGTGAAGAACAGTTTAGCAGCAACCAAAATAATTCAACAAATATTTCCTCAATACAAACAAAGATTATCCACAACAAAGGTGTGGATTACGACAGCCCAAATTGATTTCACATTGCATACTTTGCACAGGGCGCTTGATCCCGATATACAAAAATTCCATGGTGCTATCTCCTTCACAATTCACACAACAGAGTTGCAAAACTTCAAAAAATTTCTTTCCATCGTCAATCCTTCATGGGCAAGTGAAGATGGTTTTATCAATGATTTCTGGGAACAAGCATTCAGTTGCTCTCTTTCAAACCACACTGTGTTTCTTGCTGATAAGCCATGTAGTGGGGATGAGATGCTGACGAGCCTTCCCTCATCATTTTTGGAAATGAGCATGACTGGCCACAGCTACAGTATCTATAATTCTGTCCATGCTCTAGCACATGCCTTGCACATCACATACTCAGCTAGAATGAACACGAGAACAAAGGAGACTGTGGGTAGATTCTGTCTTCATCATCTGGAGCCCTGGAAGGTAATGTTTGCTGTTAGGAAATGTAGTCTTTTCACTGAAGCCTTTACTCTATACTGTTACTTCTAGATGACCACTTGATTGAGAATTCATCCAAATTTGAATATGCAAATCCAAATAGTTTTATCATTTGAAATCCCTTTCTGCTTTAAAATCTGATTTCCTCCAAATTTTGGGTTGCTGTTTTCCAACCCAACAATATTTAATATCTATGCAATAGTAGGAAGATTGCATTAAAATGTGTATATTAGTATAAAGATTTTTAAAAAACCAAAAAAAATCATTTTGTTAAGAGAAAATGCTTGCAAAAATTGCTGCCTTCCACAAAATTGCATATAAAATATTGTTAGGAGAACTTTACACTATTTTTTATTTTTTTAAATATCAGAGTATTGCAGAAATGTGATGTACTCAATTAAAGATTATAAATATAAGAAACCTAGATAACTGAAATTGGCAGATTTGTCCATGCCATATCTTGAGTGACATTTCTTTTGATGTGTTTTCAGCAAGATGATACGGCCATTAGTATTCCTCCTGATTTCCCAGTGTGGTGTTTACATATAAAGGTAAAGGTAAAGGTACCCCTGCCCATACGGGCCAGTCTTGCCAGACTCTGGGGTTGTGCGCCCATCTCACTCTAGAGGCCGGGGGCCAGCGCTGTCCGGAGACACTTCCGGGTCACGTGGCCAGCGTGACATCGCTGCTCTGGCAAGCCAGAGCCGCACACGGAAACGCCGTTTACCTTCCTGCTTGTAAGCGGTCCCTATTTATCTACTTGCACCCGGGGGTGCTTTCGAACTGCTAGGTTGGCAGGCGCTGGGACCGAGCAACGGGAGCGCACCCCGCCGCAGGGATTCGAACCGCCGACCTTTTGATTGGCAAGCCCTAGGCGCTGAGGCTTTTACCCACAGCGCCACCTGCGTCCCTGGTGTTTACATATATTCCTGGTTAAATATTACTATTCTTATTGCTTCTAGAATTTAATAGCTGCCCTTGACCCTAAGATCCAGTACAGATGACAGCAATCTAAAAACATCTTTAATTTTAAAATAAAAAAAATTAAAAACAGTGTAAAGAAAACTTGAAATTACATATACATAAAATACACATTTTAAGGGTTAAATGTGAGCATAAAGAGGGACGGCCTCAGAGAATGTCCTCTCTCAGCCACCACCCCTGAGCTTCTGAGGGTGGAGGAACAACCAAGAAGGCAGTGTCCACCAATCACAACATCTAAGAGGGTTTTTACAAAGTAGGCTGTCTTTCAGGCAGAGGCTTCAGATTGCCCCCAAGACTGAGGGACCCCAACCTGCAGCATACACAGGCATTTTAACATCACCAGGGGGAGGCCAAGCACACTGGAGGAGCTGGCCACTGATCCTGTGATGCGTCCAACAAACATTGAGGAAGTCAAGGGGTCTGCTTTTAGGTATTTGAGGCCTGAGTCATTTGGAGCTTTAAACACCAACATGAACATCTTGAATTGGGCCCATAATCCACCCAATATTCTTCATATTCCCATGGCGCATGGGTTTGCAGCTCTGCAACTATACACTTAAAAGTTCCTCTGGTAGCCCACAGTCTCATCCAGTCCAGACTGATCTACAGCTACTTTGTGGGCAGGAAGGTAATAGAGAGGAGGCTAAAAAGCAAACGCAAACAGGGCGTTATTTCAACATAGTCTCTTCAGCAACAGCAATTTTGCCTCTCTTTCATTTTGTTTAAAATATAGGGGGTCAAAGGAATTGAAAAGGATTTTAAGAGATTAAAAGGTTTTGAAGGTTAAAAGTCTTCAAAAGAAGTTTTTAAAATGTGGAGATATAGTTAACAGGAAACCAGGGTGGTGGCTGCAAGGCTGTTAGACTTCGTTAAAACTAATTTACGACGCTAGCTTCACAATGTTCTAGGTTGCAAATTCCTGGGGTTGCCCAAACACATAAAACAACGTTCCCTTCGATAGGAGGAATTTTAAAAAGAGAAAAAGAGCGGGGGGGGGGGGAGAAGCCAGAAAAGCAAACCCCAGTCATGTAATTGAAAGAGAATATGCAGAGTTCTGATAAGCACTTCCTACCTCAGTGCCATCTTGCCCCAGTATCCCCAGGCCAGTGTGGCTTGCAGTATGGACATTAATCTCTTCCACAAAATACTGACAGTCTGGAAGTGACCTAAGCGTACTCTGCAATACTTATGACTGACAAAATTAAAATGGGATTGTGGAACTCTTAGTGGTAATGTTTCCTCACTAACAGGTGTCATGACCTGCATTGTGATTTCATATGCGCTTGCCAGTGTGCCCTTGACCAATAAATCTCTGCAGAATATGAAAACCCACTGGCCTTGTACATGTTCTCAAATTCCTTCCCTTACTTGCCAAAGACTGATAATAAACAACAGCTTTAATCCCACCCCCTCCCTGATCAATTTGGGAGGTCTTTTTGCAGAACCTTTGTGTTTTCACCACGATGGGCCACTCTCTTCACATGTAAGCTACCAAATGACAGGTGCTGTCCATTGTAAATTGCAATGGTTCTTCCCTGGAGAAAAATCATTTAAATACAAGCTATTGAAGAATCTTAGTACTTTTTAGTTTGCTTTATTCTCTCTCTCTCTTTCCATCTAGCTCCACTCATCCCTTCGAATAATTTCATTCAACAACAGTGCTGGAGAAGAAATTACTTTTAATGAACATGGAGAAATAGAAGCTGGCTTTGATATTATGAACCTGGTCACATTCCCAAATATGTCCTACGTCAGGGTCAAAGTGGGGAAGCTGGATCCTCAGGCTCCTCCTGGCAAAGAGCTCACCATTAAGGAGGAAAAAATCAAATGGCACAAAGGCTTCACTCAGGTGAGAAAATAACTGCACCGTCTCCCAAATCACAACATCCAATAAAGAGGGATGTAAGGAAAAGAAAGGAATCATTACTTCACTTCATTTAACACATAAATAAATTTGCAATTCACTAGAAGTGAAAAGTAGCGTTTTAAAATAACAGGAAATTTAAAAATAAATAAATAAGAAGACAAAACAAAATGTCCCCACTGAAGGTTGGCACTTAAAAGTGCTGTTTGTGACCAGCTCAGCACTTAAAAGTGATTTTTCAATGGCACCACAGTGACTGGAAGGGAAGGAAATGCAGAAAACCCACTCCTGCCAGTAGCCCTGCACCTAGATGGTCTACATGCCAGATGAGTTCTTCAGCCACTTCAAAGGCTAAGAAAAATTGTGCTCCCCAATGATCTTCAGCCACTTGCTAGGCCCTAAACACTCTTTGGCTTCTTCCAAGGCCTGCTGAAGAGGTCTTATTGCTCAGAATCCAGCAACGATCTGAGCAAGCAAACACTGAGTGCAGCCACACTCTCAAACTCAGGCTTCCTCAACCTCGGCCCTCCAGATGTTTTTGGCCTACAACTTCCATGAGCCCTAGCTAGCAGGACCAGTGGTCTGGGGTGATGGGAATTGTAGTCTCAAAACATCGGGAGGGCCGAGGTTGAGGAAGCCTGCTCAAACTGATGCTTTCCATGATTTACAGGTTAGCAGCCATATCTAGATGAACAGTATTTTAGAGTCTTGGACTCTAGATCGCTGTTTACCAGTCGGATGCAGATGAATTCCTCAAGTCTTTTCTTCATTTAGAAAAAGTTTCTATACTTTTTGATAGGTGCCACCCCTTTGCTTGTGTAACGAAATGTGCCAACCTGGATACGGGAAGAAAAAGAAGGAGGGAGAGAAGTTTTGTTGCTATGACTGTGCTCCATGTCCTGACGGGATGTTCTCAAATGAGGAGGGTAGGCCACATTCCCTTTCTTTTTTAAAACAACGTTCTTTGTACGGATCATACATGTGGAATAAATGCAGAGCTGCATATTTAGGAAAAATCAAAGTTGAGCTTGAAAGTTAGAGAAATGGTGAGATCAGGAGAGGAAAGAGGTGGCAGTCTCTCCTTTCAGAACACGGCAAGAGGAGGGGAAGAGAAGAAGTTGCATCCATTTTATATACTGTATCTCTTTCTTCACTAAATATGGTTACAGTTGTAATTATCACACACTGCAAAGGTGTTTAAGTGTGTTGCAGTGGTTAAGAGCAGTGGACTCATAATCTGGTGAACCGGGTTCGCTTCCCTGCTCCTCCACATGCAGCTGCTGGGTGACCTTGGGCTAGTCACACTTCTCTGAAGTCTCTCAGCCTCACTCACCTCACAGAGTGTTTGTTGTGGGGAAGGAAGGGAAAGGAGAATGTTAGCCACTTTGAGACTCCTTAGGGTAGTGATAAAGCGGGATATCAAATCCACTACAACCCACATATTCTTATAGAAAATTCAAGGTTTGATCTCTGTCATCACTGTTTGAAATAATACTATCAGACAAATTCAAAGGTTTATATGGTTCCACTTTGTTACAACCATTATTCATGCTTTTAAATAGTCCTACCTGCTTCTTGTTGTTTTTCAGGCTTGGAAACTTGTGTCACCTGTCCAGGAGATCAATATCCAAGCAAAGGGAAGGATCAATGCATTCTTAAGACACAAAACTTCCTAGCTTTTGATGACACTTTGGGCATTGTTTTAACTTTCTTGGCACTAATTCCCTCTCTGATCACAGTTCTGGTGCTGGGCATCTTCATTAAGCACCGGGACACAGCCATAGTCAAAGCCAACAACAGAAGCCTCACCTACATTCTCCTCATCTCCCTCCTCTTCTGCTTCCTCTGCTCCTTCATGTTCATTGGAAAACCTAACAAGGTAACTTGTCTTCTCCGACAAACTGCTTTTGGCATCATCTTCACTGTGTCCCTCTCTTGCATCTTGGCCAAAACAACTTCTGTGGTTTTAGCATTCATGGCCACCAAACCAGGATCCAGGATGAGAAAATGGTTAGGGAAAGGATTGTCTTATTCCATTGTCCTCTTTTGCTCCAATATTCAATTGGGCATCTGTGTTTTATGGCTTGCAACTTCTTCTCCATTTCCAGATTTGGACATGAGCTCATTGACTGATGAAATAGTTGTGCTCTGTAACGAAGGATCAACTATCATGTTTTATTGTGTTTTGAGTTACATGGGTTTCCTGGCCATTGTCTGCTTCAGTGTGGCCTTCCTTGCCAGGAAGTTGCCCGACACTTTCAATGAAGCCAAGTTCATCACCTTCAGCATGTTGGTCTTTTGCAGTGTTTGGCTGACCTTTGTTCCAACTTATTTGAGCACAAGAGGAAAATACATGGTAGCTGTTGAGATATTCTCCATCTTGACCTCCAGTGCTGGACTGCTGAATTGCATCTTTCCCCCCAAATGTTACATTATTCTTATGAGGCCTGAGTTGAACACTAGAGAACAACTAATACGAAGAAAGTGATAAATTACAGAGCACTGTGGTTTCGTTCAACTGCATGCACACGGAAGCTCATACCAAGAACAAACTTAGTTGGTCTCTAGAGGTGTGATACAATCAACTGGGAAGAACTAAATTTCAGCAATTTTGCTTGTGGTGTTCTCAGACCTATTTATTTTATATTATTTAATTCATATCCAAGGGTATTCTGACCAGGAGAGTCAGAGAAAGAGAAATGTTAATCTCAAAAACCTGGAATTTAAGGAGGAACTAGGGATCTAAACTTAACTTAACTCTTAATGGCTGATCAAGATGTTGAGAAGGGGAGGGAGAATAAAGTACATTAATAACGGTAGCAGATAGCATTTTTCTTAATCCAAATATGAAGAACATGTTATATTAAAATATATCAATGTAATGTGCTATTTTGAAATTTTGATGTCTTTAAAGCTTTGTCTTCTTGATTAATTTTTAAATAATGTTGCATTATGTATTGTTCTCACTCTTTATATAGATCACAATGTTTTGATTTTGTTGTTGCTAATATTTTTAGGAAATATATTTCTAGAACAACAAGTTTCAGCATAATTAAGATCTCAGATAGTTTTGATGTAATATTGGCTTGATTTGTAATATAGAAGACATGGAAGGACCTTCCATTCGTTGTGTTTGGCACACAAGGAAAAACAAAACAAAACACCATAGCACTGTCTGTATTCAACCCCCAAAATAAAAATTGTAGGGTTTCAAGCAGGCAACTTTATATATTTCACCTCATCTCGATGTGCTAAATGTTAGATCCATAACCTATTAGAGACCATAACCTATTAGAGTTGCTGCAATGAAATCCCTTAATTGAGCCATATGCAGAGAAGAAATTAATGCTCTCAATCATAAGGAAGAATTTCAAACTTTACTGCAAATTGTCTTGAAATAGTTACAAAGAAATGTTAGCCTCCCAGAGTAGTTGGGACAACCCATGCAGATGGGTGGCATATAAATAATAGTTCAGGTGCCCTTGATTTTTAGTATTGAAAATGAGAGCTCCCTACGCACATCAACTTATTACCTAACAGCTCTATATATTCAAATAGTAGTGGAACTCAGTGGCGTAGCGTGGGGGGTGCAGGGGGGCCGGCCGCACCGGGCGCAACATCTGGGGTTAGGGCAAATCCACAGGTTAGGGGGCACAAATCCACGGGTTAGGGGGCGCAAATTACTTGCCTTGCCCCGGGTGCTGACAACCCACGCTACGCCACTGGTGGAACTTGGAAAGGGCCTGTGTGTAAGATGGAAGAGGGCTTAATTTTAGGAAGAAGAAGATTTCTAAATATGTCATGCACTAAAAACCATGCACTAGGCACTAGGCAAGCCACCCCAGTCTCTGAGTGGTGCTAGATTCAAGGGAGTTCCAAGCTTGCTATTTGAAGACTCGTGGGGGGGTTTTGGGGGTGGGTGGGTTGGAAAATGAGGCACAGTGGAGATGGTGGTATCTTTCTGATACAGTGGACCCTCCGGATTTAATTCATTCCGGGGGTTCGTGCGCACCCCAAAAATTTCACAAGAAGAGGTGCCGCTTCTGCACAGGTGCACAGCGCAATAGAGCATTCACAACCCAAAAGTTACATTACACGAAGGTAATGTAACCCAAGGGTCCACTGTACAGTGGTACCTCAGGTTAAGTACTTAATTCGTTCCGGAGGTCCGTACTTAACCTGAAACTGTTCTTAACCTGAAGCACTACTTTAGCTAATGGGGCCTCCCGCTGCCACCCCGCCGCTGGAGCCCGATTTCTGTTCTCATCCTGAAGCAAAGTTCTTAACCTGAAGCACTATTTCTGGGTTAGCGGAGTCTTTAACCTGAAGCGTATGTAACCTGAAGCAGATGTAACCTGAGGTACCACTGTATATGGTTTATTTACACACATATACAGTGGTCCCCTGCCAACCTAGCAGTTCGAAAGCGCGTTAAAGTGCAAGTAGATAAATAGGTACCGCTCCAGCAGGAAGGTAAACGGCATTTCCGTGCGCTGCTCTGGTTTGCCAGAAGTGGCTTAGTCATGCTGGCCACCAGCTCCCTCAGCCAATAAAGCGAGTTGAGCGCCGCAACCCCAGAGTCAGCCACAACTGGACCTAATGGTCAGTGGTCCCTTTACCTTTACCTTATACAGTGGTACCTCGGGTTACATACGCTTCAGGTTGCATACGCTTCAGGTTACAGACTCCGCTAACCCAGAAATATTACCTCAGGTTAAGAACTTTGCTTTAGAATGAGAACAGAAATCCTGCAGCAGCAGCGCAGCAGCAGCAGGAAACCCCATTAGCTAAAGTTGTGCTTCAGGTTAAGAACAGTTTCAGGTTAAAAACAGACCTCCAGAACCAATTAAGTTCTTAACCTGAGCTACTACTGTATGTACAACCTGAGCCTATGATGGAGGGGATCACAGCATAATCATCCCATGAAGGTCTTGCTTCTCACATAGCTGCAACCTTAGATTCAAACTGACCTAATCCATGCCTCTGATCCTCTCTCCAGCTTCATTTGTTTTAAAGACTGCTGCCTTCACCAAGATTCAACTTTCCCCCTAGGTCTCATCATGCACAAACTTCAGCTCTAAAGCTCCACTTTAAAACACTCCTTTGTCTTCCAAACTAACTTTGAGTTGAGAAAGGGGCCCCTCCCATTTGCCCTCCTTTTGACTTTCTTAATGGCCCATTACAGTGGAACCTCGGGTTGCGGACGTAATCCATGAAGAAGGCACGTCCGCAACCTGCAGTGTTAACATCCTGAAGCACCGCGTCTGCACAGGCGCTGGTGCAATTTGGCGCCTCTGCGCATGCGTGAGCAGCGAAACACAGAAATAACTCGTTTTAGTACTTCCAGGTTTCCTGCAGTCCAGAACCTGAAAACACATAATCTGAAGCAGCCGTAACATGAGGTATGACTGTACTTCCCTTCATAAAAGCGTGAAAAAAGAGTGAAACTCAGGGCTGAGTTGGGATCTACCCATTCTTCAGAAGTATAAACAAAATGTACGTTTTCTGGCACATTATAAAAAAAGATTTGTACCAAAAACTGAAAACTGACTTGATCCCATTTCATATATACAAGTCTATGGATACAATACAACAAAAGCATTGTGGCATTGAGCCCTCTCTTTATACTCAAGCAATGAAGTATTAAATCATACAAAGATTCCATTTAAAAACCAAATAGATATATTAAAATGAATATGCCAGAGTTGCCTCTAATTTTACTTAAAAGATGAAAGAGCTTCAGGCTGGCTTCCACAAAGAAATAGAACTTAAATTAAAATAAAAAATATTGATCTCAAAACCACCACACAATAATAATAAATGCTGTAATACTTTCATTATTTCACATAGTACCAGTTTTCCTGTAGCTATTTTATGTTTTGCTGTGCAAGGAAATAAAAAACAAATTTATTATTCATTTATTTCTCTGCATTAGCTGTTCTTTGTTGTTCAGCTCAGGCCTCAAAACAATAATGTAGCATTTAGGGAAAAAGATGCATCCTAGTAACCCTGCACTGGAAGCCAAGATGGAGAAAATCTCCACAGCCACCATGTATTTTCCTCTTGTGCTCAGGTAACTTGGAACAAAAGAGAGCCAAACACTGCAAAAGACCAACATACTGAAAGTGATGAACTTGGCTTCATTAAAACTGTCAGGTAACTTCCTGGCTAGGAAAGCTACAGTGAAACTGACAATGGCTAGGAAGCCCATGTAGCCCAAGACACAAGAAAACATGATGCTTGAGCCTTCATTACATAGCAATACAATTTCTTCAGTCCCTGAGGGTGTGTCCACATCTGGGAATGGTGGAAAGGTTCCCAACCACAGAATACAAATCCCTACTTGAGTACTGGAGGAGGAGATGACTACGGAATAAGCCAAGCGTTTACCAATCCATTTCCTCATCCTGGATCCTGGTTTAGTAGCCATGAATGCCAAAACCACAGAGATGGTTTTGGCCAAGATGCTAGAAAGGGCTACAGAGAAGACAATGCCAAAAGCAGTTTGTCGGATAAGACAGGTCACCTCATTAGGCCTTCTGATGAACAGTAAGGAACAGAGGAAGCACAAGAGGAGCGAGATGAGGAGAACGTTGGTGAGGCCTCTGTTGTTGGCTTTGACTATGGCAGTGTCCCAGCATTTAATGAAGATGACAAGTACCAAAATTGTGGTCAGAGACAACAAAAGCGCAAAGGAAATTAGAACAATGCCCAAAGTGTCATCTAAAGCCAGGAAGTTTGGAATCTTAGGAATGCACTGATCCCGATCTTTGTTTGGATGCTGATGATTTGGACAAGTGACACAAGTTTCCATGTCTGGGAGGGAAATGAAATTTAATTCAATGAACATTATTCTCAAGATTAAGAACTGTTCTTTCAAGAGTCCCCCAAACAAATATTCACCATGGAAACATTACAAAGCCTTTGTAACAATGTGCTTCCAAAAAGAAAAGCCAAAGATCAAACCCAGAGTCTTAACCCCCTTCTCCCCCCATTATAATAACAACTGCAATGCAGTGAAAAGAGAGAATCATTGCAGAAGTTATTCAATATCTTGGAAGCCGAAATAATGATAATTTGATTAGACTTTCTGCTGCCGAAATAGCTTTGTTCTTTAAAAACAGACCACAACTTACATTAAATCCTGGTTAATTAATTTCTGCTAATGCACAACTGTTGTGCAGTGAAAAGAAAGAATTATTGGAAAAGATATACAATATACGAGAAGCCAAAATAATGATGTGTTGAAACTTTTTATCCTCTGCCCAGATAGTTTGTTCTTAAAGAACAGACCATGTCTGCTCTATCCTGATTGATTCGTTTCCCTTTGTTTCAAGCTATTTTATCACACACTGCCTTGATTCTTGGGTGTATTGTGATATATGGACAAGCTGTGGTGCATTTATGCCAGAAATATGATGCCATTCAATAACTTAAAAGTTTATTTTATAAAATATCAGAATAATGTCCACTATTTGATTGCTGACTCAGGACCCTAAACTGTGTTTTATATAATTGACTTTTTATTTTGTTCTGTGTACCAATGTTCTTTTGTTGCTATGGCTGATGGCTGACACAAATCAAGTTTCATTCATTCGTGCTGGAATGGGATGGCAAAAGCAGGGATAAGGAGAGATGATGTGGTTGGACCAAAAGAGAATAACAAAAAGGGAAAAGCTATTGGGTGAATCGTTTCTGGGAAGATTCATAACCAATGTGCGGAACAGTGAAAGATGTAGAACTGCTAACAAACCTCTGGAGAAAGGGGAGGACAAGAAAGGGGACAAGGAATTGGTACTGATTTTGGAGTTGCTTTTCTGGAGGTCTGAGCCATGGTGTGACAGAAACTATATTGTTTGAAAGTATGGTGGTTTTGGAGCGCTATGAGAAGGACCTCTAAGGAGACCCAAATCCACCAGGTTAATGAGAGGGGAGAATTCTTGAGGGCTCTCAAGACTTTCTTGAGATGCTTCATAACAGGTCTTCTGTTTTAAAAGCATTTTTTTCACACTAACCAAAAATAGTTTGGGATGTTCTACATATTCGGACAATGAATTATGCCATTATTATTTCAGAGTTACTTTGGAATTTCGTTACGCTGAAATATTTTACCTGTGTTTCTAATCATATTATAAGTTTTAATAATATTATCAAGGTCTTTCCATAAAACTTAACTATATAAATAATAAGAACCATATATTATACCATGATTTGAATGTGTGGGGGGGACCCAAAGTTAATAATCCAACCCGTTCAGATGGGCAGGGTACAAATAAAATTATTATTTAGAATCATAACAGCTAACTTGCAAAACAGTAAATCCTACCAATCTCATTTGAAAACATCCCATCTGGACATGGAACACAATCATAACAGCAAAATTTCTCCCCCTCCTTTTTAAACTTCCGGTAACCAGGTTGGCAGTGGTCATTACATACTGAAGGGGGTGGCACCTATCCAAAGGGAAAGGTTATTATTAAGAAAATGCCTGGGAAATTGATCTTAAATAAGTAAGAATCACCAGTAAACTGGAGTGTAAATGATGTGGAATAACATAGCCATATGAGCACAGGTGCAAGATTCAGTGGATGAAATACTGATTATGTCAAGCATCTTATAATTAAAGATTAGAATTTCTATAATGAGTCCACCAAATAATTGACCTATTTATACATCTGATCTAATACCATTAACTAGGCTGGAGACCCTATGACTCTCCATATTTTGTTGAATTAGCATTCCTATCAGCCAAAGTTTTCCAACTGAAGGGCCAAAGGTTTCCATAGTTATGATGACTCATTTATACAGATACAAAATCAATACAGGTGTGGAATAACTAAAGGAAAAATATAACAAATCCTTTTAATGTTCATAGATAGCTCACCTAGAAAGTATATTGGTATTTATTGATTAAACATACGGACAAAACCTTTTCAAGCTAATTCTTCCAGATTTGAAGATGCTGTAAAAGAAAGCCTTAAAGCCAGTAAGAAGAGCTTCTAACATCTATCGGCTGTATAGTATAGTTATGTTGAAAATGAATGTAAGAGAAAATATTAAACATCATTGTATCCAGTCCGCTTGATACGTGAAGAGTCCCACTTCATTTTATCTACTGTCTGATTCACTGTAAGATGTTAAATGCAGATGTGCCAGGAATGGGAATACAACCTAGGTGTAACAATAGATGAAGATGCCTGGGTTTGAATCAGGATGAAACGTCCTATAAATGCCACTTTTGCAAGAGACCAAGAGGCAGTGCTTAAGGCAGTGGTTCACTGGCACTACAGTCAAGCATTCTCACATCACTTTTACAACCTCATCTCATGGCTGGTGAAGCTGTAACAAGAGGGGGAAACTTTATACATTTATAGTGGGAGTGTTACAAGTTTACTGGGTTTTGGCAAAGCATATTTGATGTTCTTCATAGTATTATTGACCAGCCATTTTATTGCTTGATCATGAATGTTGCTATTTGAGAGGCGGTGTGGCTATTTCCCCACCTGAGACAAGTTCCAATGCCATTTGATTCTGTCCTCATCAATGGTGAGTTGTTTCCCAGGAGGTGCCTGAGGATCCAGTTCCCCCACTTTAACCCTGATGTAGGATTCATTTGGGAAAGTCACCAAGTTTCTAATAGCAAATCCACCTACTAATTCCCCATGTTTGTTAAATGCAATTTCATCTCCAGCACTGTTGTTGAATGACATCCTCTGAAGGAATGAGTGGAGCTAGAGAGAGAAAGAATGAGTTGTAAAATCTATAAAGGGTTGTAATATTATAATTACATTTATTTTGTGCTGGCAAAATCACAACGAAGTGCAGTCAGCTTTTGGTAGCAGATACAGGAAGAGAGTGACAAATAATCAAATCAGTGGAAATTCAGGATTTGAAGGTGCTTCCCAATATATTTAGGGAGGACAGCTAAGACTATTACAGTTGCTGGAGGCAAGAAGGCTTCCCCTAGAAAACTGAATTCTTGTTGAAATAAGGAGTGGGGAAAGAACACAAGCTTGGGCTAAATAAATGCAAGCAGACAATAAGATAAGCTAAAAAGGATTTCATTTTGCCCATTCCTAAAAACATAAAGAGCAACAGTAAAACATTATTTAAATAGTTGAGTAGCAAGACTTTGGCTAAGGAGGTGCTTGGACTCTTGGATGACAAGAGAGTCAAATGTGTGCTAAAAGAAGAAAGCAGAGAAAGTGAATTATTTGCATCCTCTCCAGCCTCTGCTTCTGTTTCTGATTATGGACTGTTCCCTGCCCCCAGCCTCTCCCTGCTCACTAAACCCTGTTACCTCTACAGCTTCCAATATCTCATCTTCCCAGTCTGTTCCCTTTTCTCCCTCTGGCCACCCATCCCACCACCCACCCCTGGCTCTGAGCCTTTTTCCATTGGCTGTTCCCTTGGGGATTCCCCAGCTGACCCCTTCCACCACTCCTCTGCACATAGCCAGTCCATGACATTAATCTGATAATCAAAATACGTAACTTCTCCATGCTTGAGGACTGGGGAGAGGCCAACATAACACTAACTATAAAAAAGGGATTCAGAGAAATCATGTAAATTACATACTGGTTTGAGAGTGTCCAATAATGATATGATCCTGTTCTTGGTTTTTGCAAAATGTTAAAGTGGCTTACAATATAGTACCTCTCACCTGGAAGCTTCCCTTTCTTCTACCATTGTCTTAACCTTAACTGGGGTGGGGTAGGGTGGGGTGCTTCATTTCCCTACCTGTCACTGAGTATCCTTCCACCACCTATCTTAGGGTTGCCATATCTCAAAAAATAAAAACCACAGCACCCCAAAATTGTATGGCAGCCCTAATCCTATCTGCTGCTTTCGTGTAGATGTGGTTATTGGCTCCCAATGGCATCCCAGAAGGGGAGACACTGGAACAGTAACTGCATGTAAACTGCACACTTTATGAAAGAGAATATTACCTTCCATGGTTCCCCATTCCAAGGACATGGCCACCCCCTGGCATCAGTTATTCTGTAGTTGCCTCTAGATGAGTACCTGAAGTGTAAGGCATGTGCCAGAGCATAGACAGCATTATAGATAGCATAACTGTGCCCCGTCATACTCATTGCAAAATAAGGAGCAGGAAGGCTGTCCAGCATCTCCTCTCCTGTACATGGGTTTGTGATGTCTGTTGGCTCCATAGCGTTTGGAAATTTACAGCTGAATGCTTGTTCCCAGAAATCCTTGATGAAACCATCTTTATTTGTCCAAGAAGGACGTACATTCCCAAGAAACTCTTGGAAACCTTCTGGGTCACTGTAGTGAATTGCAAAGGATATAGCACCATGAAGCTCTTGTAAATCAATGCCAGCTATCTTTTGAATGCTAGATAATGTGAAGTCAATTTGGGCTGTTGTAATCCACACTTTTGCTGTAGATACCGTCTCCTGATATTCAGGATGTATTTCTTGAATTATTCTAGTTAATTCTATAGAAAATGGCAACCATAAAATAGAAGAAGTTTCTCCATATATAATAACTGCATTAGCTTTGCTCAGTGCAAAAGCTGGCAAAAGACTCCTTGTATCAGCACCAAACTTTCGTTCATACAGGAAGTTATACAAATTTTCACGAATTCGTCTTATGAATGCCGAACAGATTTTATTCTGCAAAAGCATTGGCTCTATGGTCTGCAAAAAATGTCCTCCGCCTTCATCATCTATAGCCATCAGCCCTACCCATTTCCATCCAAAGTACAGAAGTAACTCAACAGTTCCTTGATACTGAAGGGCTTCATTGGGAAGCATACGATAAAAGCAAGGGAACTTGATTTGATCATGCACTTCTTGAAATGAACCATATGATATCTAAAACAAACAAATAAAAGTGCACCATTTCAGTGTGGGGGAGGAGCTCAGTGTCTCTACCTTACTAATGGGAAACTGACCAGGCATAACCTTCATCTAAGCCAACCATCCATCCATCCATCCATCCATCCACACATGCATACCCAGAGATGCTGATGAGTTTGATTGACTGGAGCCAGATGTAAATTTGCCCACCTAAAAATCTAACATCACTCACCAAGAAGACCTTATTTGGATCTGGTAACCATCTTTCCAAAATGAAATCCCCCTGTAAGAACAGGAGCATGAAACAGAAAGGCATCAAATTTGACTCATTAATTATCTAACCCAGGGGTAGTCAACCTTGTTATACCTACCGCCCACTAATGCATCTTTCTTGATGGTAAAATTTCCTTACTGCCCACCAGTGCTCAACGGAAGGAGGATTCAGCTTGTGCTGTAGAAGCCCCTACCGCCCACCTAGAATTCTGAAACGCCCACTAGTGGGTGGTAGGGACCAGGCTGACAAGCCCTGATCTAACCGGACAAAGATGCACAATAGCAAATCATCTAGTCAAAACCCTTGCAATGCAGGAATATTTTGCCCAACATGCGGCTTGAACCAATGACAGTCAAATTAACGGCCTCATGCTCCACCAACTGAGCCAACTTAGCAATCAACTACCTACTTCATTGTGTTAGGTGACAAGATAATAGTAAGAAAAAAAAGACTTCACTTTTTTGTGTCACCAAATTCCTAAACGAAAGGGATCAATTCCCTTTGTTTTGATATTCAAACCCTACCTGTGGAATCCTGTAAAGACCTAAGATGTCTGCCATTGCTGAGGAGGTGTCAGAGCTCAGTCCCCCAATGACTCCTATTACATTTTCCTGGATACCACATTTGTAGTTGGGTACAAAGTTATGTGAGTTAGACAGCAGGTTTTGGGTGTTGTGGTAGGTCATCCTTGAATCAGTATAGCTGTCATAGATGTGGAACCCCAGAGTGACGTTAGGCAATACCTTGGGATTCTCATTGATCTCTGCCACAGCAAACATCAGGGCTAGGATGTGCTGGTAGAACTTTGTCGTCATGCTGCAAATGAAGGGACTTTCATTGGAAAATTAAACAAAGTTATTTTAACACTGTTTTCATCTAGATATGAGAGCTGAAATTGCCCAAGTTTAAAGAGAGGACATAGCCAACAAAGTTAGTCATTAGCTAAATTCCGTTGGCAAGAAAACAACTGTGCTATGATTGTTAGAATTATATAATTCTGTATTTGGAGCTTCCTTCAACCAGATCAGAGTTTTAGTATCTCAGAGCACATCAGTTGTGGAATTATCTATATAGATGGGATGGAATATTTCCTTGTATTTCACTGCATTTGTTTGTAATATTTCATCCATTTCCCCCCCTTTAATGCTGTACAGTTTCAGCAATGAACATTAACTGTGCCACAAAAGTGTGATAATGAGTTTGGAATCACTGCTACTAAAAATGCACCAGTTTCACACATGTTTGTGTCCCTTCAAAACCTTCCTTTTAAAAATGTGAAACCCAATTTTGAGTGGACATAGAACTTAATGCAGGGAACTGCCTTCTACTAAGTCCCTCTAACTCAGCATTTTCTACACTGATTACTTTCATGTTGCAGAGTGGGAGTCTTTGTCAGCCCTGCCAGTGGATGCCAATAATTTAAACTACAACCCTTTACATGAAAAGCATGTCCCGGAACACTTCCTTACTGCTGTTCCCTATAGGCAGACACAGACAGGTCATACGTTCTGAATGGTATGTGCATTGACCTCCACCTTGTGCATTTAACTTGACATATTTGGTGTTTCTAGCTAGTAATCAATTTAGGAATGAAAGCATGAACTTTATTTCTATGGGAACATTTCTAATCTGGGATTTGTCTGAACCCCCTCCCCCCAAATATACACACACTTCTTCCTGAAATGACGGCAGTAAACCAACAAAAAAGATACAAAGAAATAACTGATGTGTCTGATTTCTCCAGATTTATGATTTGTCAGATCTCTCCTGCTCTCTCATTCGGCTGATCTCTCTCCCTCTCTGCATGGTTTCTGCCTCAAAATGGCTGCTGTCGACCAGCAAAGAGCAAACAAGTGAGGAAGGAAGGAAGGAAGGAAGGAAGGAAGGAAGGAAGGAAGGAGGCAAGTGATGGCTGTTCGGATAGCTGAATCTGCAGAGTGTATAGAGAAGTTTGGACATAATTATTTACATTCAAATCAGTGAATCTCCACTTAGAGAGTAGGCAGATAATGGGACCTTTTTCAAAGAAATCAAGGAAACCTGAATTCAAAGAAACATGCAGTCAAATGTACAAACATAAAGAACCACTAACACATGCACACACCACAGTTTTATAGAAGGAAACAATTCCTTACAAAGGGTCCTGAATCAGTTCTGGGGAAGGTTGCTCCGTGAATAAAACTTTAGAGAAAACGTAATGCATAAGAGTTGTCATCCCACCAATGAGAAGATCACCTGGCTCATACCAGTCATGTGGAACACGTACAGGTTTCTTTCTGCTGCAGCTAATACTATGCACTTTGCACACCATGTTTGGAAGCAGAAGGAGAAAAATCACCATCCTAATAGTAACCTTCTGTCCACACATGAAATCTCCCACGTCTCTCAGTTTACCATATCATTAGAACTATTGAACTCATTTGAGCAAGATGACTTTATTAGCAGCTGACTCTGCCAACACACTACTCAAAGGGACTCCTATCCACCTTAACCTTAACCTCAACAATATCACAAAAGCATACCTTGAATGCCAATTAAACTACATAAATTTGAAAGTTGAGCTCTACACTGAAATTGAGAATCTGGTCAAAATGACACAGCCCTAACTCTCTCTATTCCCTAATCTTAGCTGTCTATGGAACACTGGGGAACTTATAATCATTTCAGGCTTTCCAACTGAATGTTTTCCCCTTCTGTGAAGCCACTGGAGCTTTGGTCAATTGAATTGATTATACTGGTTTAGATAATTGCAGGGGAAATAATAACTTCTGCAATGTTCTTGGCTGCTGAAAATTTGTTACATCACAGAGTTGGAAGGGAACTTCAAGGTTGCCCCTGGGCATGGGGGTTATTATTTTGTTTGTTATTATCTTAAGTGTTGTGTTTTATATTGCAAACTGCCCTGTGATCTTTGGATAAAGGGTGATATATAAATGTGATAAATAATAATAATTTTATACTTTTAGAATATTTATTAATAGTCCAACACCATTATGGGAATTCCATAACCACAAAGTCCCCACAGATCCTGTGAACAAATTCTTTGTGATGAGAATTTGTGCAAGAACCTCTAACTTTGCTGCACTTCTCAAAGCTTGAACTTCTCGAATCTGAGAGCATATAATGCTACATTTTCTGCACTGGTTACTGGCATACCTGTAGTGTTTCAGAGTGGAGGTGCCAGAACAGCATCTAAAACAAACAGGCAATGATTCTACAATCCAATAAAATTTAAAAAAGCAATTTGATCCATCTAGAACAAGTTCATCTGCATATCTAGGAAAAGAACATAAAGAAAGTTACAAACTATTCTATCAGTTATAACTTTTTTCGTATCAATTGCTCTCTGTTGTTCAGGTCAGGTCTCAGAAGAATGATGTAGCATTTGGGGGAAAAGATGCAACAAAGTAACCCAGCACTTGAAGCTAAGATAGAGAAGATCTCCACGGCCACCATGTATTTTCCTCTTGTGCTCAGGTAAGTTGGAACAAAAGTCAACCAAACACTGCAAAAGACCAGCATGCTGAACGTGATGAACTTGGCTTCATTAAAAGTGTCTGGCAACTTTCTGGCTAGGAAGGCCACGGTAAAACTGACAATGGCCAGGAAGCCCATATAGCCCAAGACACAATAGAACATAGTAGCTGACCCTTCGTTACACAAAAAAACTATTTCTTCTGCCATTGAGTGCATGTCCAAATCTGGGGATGGTGGAGAGGTTGTCAGCCAGAGAGTGCAGATGCCCAACTGAATGGTGGAGGAGAAGAGAACTATGGAATAAGCCAATTTTTGTCCCAACCATTTCCTCATCCTGGATCCTGGTTTGGTGGCCATGAATGCCAAGACTACAGATATGGTTTTGGCCAAGATGCTCGAGAGGGCCACAGAGAAGATGATGCCAAAAGAAGTTTGTCGGAGAAGGCATGTTGCCTCATTAGGCATTCCAATGAACAGTAAGGAGCAGAGGAAAGATAGGAGGAGACAGATGAGGAGAATGTAGGTGAGGCTTCTATTATTGGCTTTGACTATGGCAGTCTCCTGGTGCTTGATGAAGATGCTAAGCACTAGAAGTGTCATCAGAGACAACAGAAGTGCAAAGGAAGTTGAAATGATTGTCAAAATGTCATCATATGCTAGGAAATTTGGAATCTTGAGAATGCATTGATCCTTGGCTTTGTTTGGATATTGATCTTCTGGACATCTGAGACAAGTTTCTTTGTCTAAGAAAAGAAATGAATAAAAAACCACAAAGTGTTAAGAACTGCCTCGCCAGGCATCTACCAAAACTAACTATATTTCACAAGGGGAAAGGTAAACATTTTCTGACCAAGATGCTTGAAAAAAATGCCATCCGTCATATTTTCAATTTACCTACGTTTCCCCAACCAAATTCTATACAGATTTTGCTATTGCATCACGACTAGAGCGATTACTAACAAAGTCCTAACAGGTGATATTTATCTTCCTTGTTTCCTGGTAGTCCTATATACAGTACTTAAACTTTTATGGTTATTGTCACACTGCAGTTGTGACTGCAGTTGTGTGGCCACTAACAGATGGCACTAAGAAATACAGCATGACAACACTCTTACAGGTTAGTGAGCAAGAGAGCAGTGTGTGTGTGTGTGGCTGAAGTTGCTGAGAGGGCAGGTAGTTGGCCAAAAGAAGCTGGCAAGTGAGTGGTGGTGGAGGCCATAGCAGTCAGTGATAAAGCAGTGGGATGGGCAGTGAAGGCTGGCGAAAAAGTTGTGGGGGCAGGAGACCTCCAAACCTAACTGCTCTCCGTAGGAAAGGAGAGAGAAAAGCATTCACCACCCATCATATATATCCACTATAAATCCTTTCTGTTCAAAAGAGAGATGAGTGGGGAAATATTTCTATATTTTGGCTATCAACTCAGTCTTCTCGAATTCAGATAACCCGAGTTTGTGCTCAGGTAATTGTGTATTTTGCCTCAGCTCTGCAATTCAGGAGTTTTGATCGTATTGCATTATTGTCTTTTAAAATGATATTTATTTCTCTCATTGATTAACCTTACCATTTTTCTCTTGGTAATTAGGAACTATGCTTGCTTAATTAAATTGCCTAACTTTAGAAAATGAGACTTTCATGAGCCCTAAATATTCTGTTTTCTGAATACAGAGAGGAAGACCTGCCTTCATTCCTCTCCACCATGACATCTGTTTCTAGGATAATCTAAGGTGCTGCTTTAAGCATTGAAGAAAATGTTAGATACATAAAATGTATTCTTAAGGTTTTACCCTGAGCAGAACAGAATTGGCATGGGGTGTGTGTAGGTGTCACATTTCTAAAACAAGGGGAGATTCCTAGCAGAGGGCTGAGCAAAACTCCCCTTCTTCAATTTTACAGGTCACCTCACACAATTGGAAACAAGTTTCGGTTACTTTCATTTTAACCATTTGGATTCCCCAAGAAAAGTTTCCAAGTTATGCTGATTCAAATCACCAGTTTCCCGAGTGTGCAACTTCATTTTGGGGCATGAGTACAAATTCCTACCTTAACATATTTTCTCAGTTATCTGTCATGCAAGGACAATGGAAGGACATTCTATGTCTTATGGCATCAAAGTTACATGGGAACTTGGTTATGTTAACTTGTGTCATTTGTTATTCTAGCAAGCTTCACCTTACTTTATTTTAACAGAAAATAAGTGTTCATATCTATATAAGCAGGAGGAACAAATATTATTGCTATCATTTCATAAAATGTACAAAGCTAATTAAAAGAAGCTTGCAGAAGAACTGGTCAGAGTTTACTGCAGTCAGTGGTATAGTTTGGTACATCTCCTTAGCATGACATCTCCTAGCATGACATGTCCTACCCTTCTCATTTGAGAACATCCCATCTGGACATGGAGCACAATCATAGCAGCAAAATTTCTCCCCCTCCTTCTTTTTCTTGCCATTACCAGGTCGGCATTCATCATTGCATACTGAAAGAGGTGGTACCTATCCAAGAAAGAAAGAAAGAAAGAAAGAAAGAAAGAAAGAAAGAAAGAAAGAAAGAAAGTTTAGCATTAAAAATGTTCAGAGAATTCCTCTTACATCAGATGATCCTTCAGCACACAGTAATGTTGATGACATTGTTGCTGTGTACACCATACATTTTAAACATATATAAATCACACCCACTCTATAGGATCCTGGAGACTATAGTTTCTTAAGGATGCTTGGAATTGCAGCTCTGTGGGGAGTAAAGTAGAATTTTGGGGGAGAGTTATGCTGCTGGATGTAACTGGAGGCAACCTTACAATATTATATGCATCAGGTTCAGGCCTGCTTTTGTAAATGAATGAACCTTAGCTATCCCTATGGATGGCATCTACAGTGAGGAAAACAGGGGGAGTGTGACCCTATTGATTCTCCTGGACCTCTCAGTGCCCTTCAGTACCATTGACCTTAGTGCCTTCCTAGATCCTCTCTGTGAACTAGGAGTTGGTAGCACTTCCTTCCAGTAGACTAATTGCCATTTGGGCATAGAATAGCATTTGGAGATCATCTTTTGACCTCTTCACTCTTGCACAAAATAGAACAGGGCACCATTTTGTCTCCAGCGCTATTTCACTACCCACATGAAGCTGCTATGGTTGGTCATTAGGGTCCATGAACCCAGTTTCCATCTAGTACGCTTCAGAGACATAGCTCAGTTTCTTGGTCTTATCTGATTCAGGAGTGCCTGCAGTAATGGGCTAGATTAAGGCTGGCAAAGTGAAACTGAATCCTGCGGGTAAGTGGTTTCCAGGTTTAGGAAATTTGCAAATTGTCTGTTTCTGGGGGGGGTCACTCTCCCTCTGAAGAATCAGGTATATGTGTGGCATTTAGGCCCATTTAGGCTAGGTGTGTCTTTAATTAACTTTGGCTCATGTGCCAGATCAGACCTTTTCTGGGTAAGAATAATTTGGGCATTGTGGTTTGTGTCCTTGTAACCTCAAAGCTTGACTATTGCAATGCACTCTATGTAAGGCTGGCCTTAAGACTGGTCTAGAAGTCCCAGCTGGTGCAAGATGCAACAGTTCAGGAGCTTGTGGAGCAACTTATGATCCACATAGGACACCTCTGTTGAAACAGCTGCACTTCCTTCCAGTACACTGCCGTGCCAAAATGAAGGTTGTGGATATGGCAGTAGCACACAAATCTGTATACAGATATGCCTGAGTGTACACCTGAGTCACTGAGAGACTTTCTTGGTTAGAACATAGTCCTGGTAACACCAAGGTTGCAGGTTCAGTCCCCATATGGGACAGCTGCATATTCATTTGTTGCAGGGTTTGGGACTAGATGATCCTCAGGGTCCCTTCCATCGCTGCAATTCTATGATTCTACTATTCTTCTCCTGAACCCTGCTCCGTAATTACAGTATGTTCACTTGGTTTAACAAGTCAGATTGGCTTACGAAGGATCAGAGCCTTCAGCTGGATTGTCCCCACTTTATGCAACTCTAACCGCATGTACACAAGGGAAGCCCGAAAGCTGTATACATACATTCCAGTGCCCTGCTAACAATTTCCTCTTTTACCTGTATTTTCTGCCACCTCTTCACACATTGTTTATGATGTTCTATATCAATATGTTTTGCAGCAATAGGAATTTGTGGTTCATGTTTTAACTTACTATGCATTTAATGCATTGCTTTTACTGTCCAAAACTTAGATTCATTAGTTCACAGTAGTATATAATTTAATAATAATACTGACGATGCTGATAATAAGGTCCAGCGCCGAGGGCCTTCTGGTGGTTCCCTCGCTGCGAGAAGCCAAGTTACAGGGAACCAGGCAGAGGGCTTTCTCGGTAGTGGCACCCGCCCTGTAGAACGCCCTCCCTCCAGGTGTCAAAGAAAACAACAACTACCAGACTTCTAAGAAGTTGTTCTACTTAGAATTCTAAGACATCTAAAGGCAGTCCTGTTTAGGGAAGCTTTTAATGTTTAACAGACCACTGTGTTTTAATACTTTGTTGGAAGCCACCCAGAGTAGCTGGGGAAACCCAGCCAGATGGGCGGGATATAAATAATAAATTATTATTATTATTATTATTATTATTATTATTATTATTATTATTGCATAATGCATAAGTGAAAAGAATAAAAAATATAAAATACAAACCAAAGTGCCATCCTGTGAACAAGTACAAATAAATCAAACCTTCGAAATAGTGCCAATCCTAGGTAAAGATAGCCATCAGTTCCAAATATTGCAATACTAAAATCAACATTTTAGCAGCAACCTCAATAAAATGATCTCAGTTAAAAGCCATTTTGGTAACAACGGTTTTCAAAGAATTTTTGAAACAAGTAACAGTAAACACCAATGCAAACCCCTTAAAGGGGAATTTAATTGCATAGGGACCACTATTGAAAATGGTATGCCAACAGCTCCGAACGTCCAAAGCTGATGAACTAATACATTCATATGGTTGAAGACAGTCCTTTCAGTGGTGGCTCGTCTCTGTAGAAAGGCTTACCTTCCACATATCAGATATATTTAACAAACATTTGTTTGTCAACACAGTGGGGTATTCCAGTGCATTTCAGAGTTATACGTTATATGAATGAATTCCTCCATCCTTTTATTTACATCTATTACCCTCCCAATTCATTGTAAGACCATGAATGCTGATACTTGAAACCTGAATCAAGCCTTTGTGCCATTCGACTCGGTCCTCAAAAATGGTCAGCTCTTTCCCAGGAGGCTTGCGAGGATCCAGTGTGCCCACTTCCACTCTGACATAGGATTTATTACGGAACGTGATCAAGTTTGTAATATCAAATCCAGCTGCCAGTTCCCCGTGTTTGTTTAGTGTGATTAAATCTCCAGCACTATTATTGAATGAGATTCGCTGAAGAAATGAGTGAAGCTTGATGGAGAGAGAAAGATAATTTTATAACATCATAATATTAAAGGGGGGGGGCTTAATGGGGAGATGGGGAACCTGTGAACCAGAGAGCCAGTGTGGTGTAGTGGTTAAGAGCAGTAGACTCGTAATCTGTGAACCGGGTTTGCGTCTCCGCTCCTCCACATGCAGCTGCTGGGTGACCTTGGGCTAGTCACACTTCCTTGAAGTCTCTCAGCCCCACTCACCTCACAGAGTGCTTGTTGTGGGAGAGGAAGGGGAAGGAGAATGATAGCTGCTTTGAGACTCCTTCGGGTAGTGATAAAGCAGGATATCAAATCCAAACTCCTCCTCCTCCTCTTTGGGGACTGGTAAAACTAGTTCCTTTTTAAAAGGAATTTTCAATGGTCTGGTTCTACACAAGGGTGGAACTAACTTCATCCTGTTCCATTGTTCCATTTTAAAAAATCCATTCAGAAATTCAATGTACCGTATTTTTGTTCTCTGCAATGGGTTGTTGAGCAACCACAAGAAGAAATGAAATTGATTTCCTTGTGTTGTAAATTGTGGCATGCATTCAACTGCTTGCTGTGTGATGAGGCTTATTTCATTGAAAAAGTCCAGCCAAATAATCCAAATCTTGTTGCACCACACATAGAACACAGTGACTTGCTTTTTTTCAATGAAAACTCATAGGCTGTGCATAACATATAAGGTAAAGGTACCCCTGCCCGTACGGGCCAGTCTTGCCAGACTCTAGGGTTGTGCGCACATCTCACTCTATAGGCCAGGAGCCAGCGCTGTCCGCAGACACTTCCGGGTCACGTGGCCAGCATGACAAGCTGCATCTGGTGAGCCAGTGCAGCACACGGAACGCCATTTACCTTCCCGCTGGTAAGCGGTACCTATTTATCTACTTGCACCCGGGGGTGCTTTCGAACTGCTAGGTTGGCAGGCGCTGGGACCGAGCAGCGGGAGCGCACCCCGCCGCGGGGATTCGAACCGCCAACCATGCGATCGGCAAGTCTTAGGCGCTGAGGTTTTACCCACAGCGCCACCCGCGTCCCGTGCATAACATATATACCCCCTTTATCTACCTCTCAGTGGTCCTGCTTACACCATTTGCATGAAGCATTTACTGTGTATATTTTTATTCTCTCTGTGCATGTACAATAAAGACCCCCATTTTAAACCTGTATGCGTGTGTGTTTCAAGGTAAATCTGCCCAAAAGTGTTGCTGCCACTGTCAAACTAATTCACAAGATTTGTAAAACATGGGTATGTGAAGCATGAGTCTGCTGAGGAGTTTTATTAACAAGGAGTGAATTATGGTTGACAAAGGACAAGTGTGGTAGCAAATATAGGAAGATCAAGAGAATCTCCAAAACAAGGTTAAAAATATTGCTATTAAATGAGATCAGATAATGTTAAGGGAAGGAATTTGAGAATGAGAAAAGCAAGGAGTGTTCATATACTGTAAGAATTTAGTAGTCAATGTCATGTTTGCTACTGCATGTCATATCACTGTGCTATACACTACCTTCCAAGGTTCCACATTCTTAAAAGACAGGTTTCCCCAGGCATCCATTCCTTTATTGTTCGCTCTTTCTGAGTACATGATATGCAAAGCATGTGCCAGAGCATGGACAGCATTGTAGATACTGTAGCTGTGGCCAGTCATGCTCATTTCAAAAAATGGTGCAGGAAGGCTCTCCAGCATCTCCTCTTCTGTACATGGAGAATGTCTGAAGAATGTAGACACACCTGCAGAATTTGAAACAGAACAACTGAATGCTTCTGCCCAGAAATCGTTGATAAAACCATCTCCATCTGCCTCGGAAGGATTTATTGTCTGAAGAAAGGCCCGGAAATCTTGAATTTCCTTTGAGTGAATTGTAAAGGAAATGGAACCATGGAACATTCGGCTAATCATATCACTCATCATTTGAAGTTTATAGACTCTGAAATCAATTTGGGCTGTCGTAATCCACACCTTTACTGCAGAAAATGTATATTGGCGATACCTTGTTCGATACAAATCGATTGCTGCTACAGTATTTGCCAACCATGTGATTGGTGCACTTTCTCCAGATACAATAACAGCATTGGCTTTGCCCACCAGAACAGCTGGGAGAATATTTAATCGATCCAACAACATTTTGACCACATTTTCAGAGAAACGCACATTTGTTGGAACTCTTTGTGTGAATTCAGAACAGATTCCATTTTTGGAAAGCATTGGCTCTATGGTCTGCAAGAAATGTTCTCCACCTTCATCATCCTGGGCAATGAGGCCAACCCATTTCCACTTGAAATGCAAAAGGAGTTGAATAATTCCTTTGTACTGAAAATATTCACTAGGAACCATTCGATAAAAGGAAGGGGACTTGATTTGATAATTGACTGCTGGTTGAAAAGAGCCATATGAAATCTGAACAATAAAAGCCAGGCATTACTGAGTAGAAACAGGAGCTCATATTTCTCTCATTTATCTAAATATTTTCTTACAGTGCAATTTTATATATCCACAACTTTTAAAGCCACTATTCTGTCTTTTGCACATACATAATTTCCTTACACTATCTTCATCAATTTTTCCTCAAGCTATTCAGTCCTATTTGGCTTGCAGCAATTCTTTTCTACACATCTAAAACACATTTTTTGGAACCTCTCCCATCTCATACTCATAGCTGGATGCCTAATTTATTTATTTTTATTTATTTTGTTTATGAAGCATGTCCCTTCTTACTAGCCAGATGGGCGGGGTATAAATTATTATTTTTACTACTACTACTACTGACTAATTTCATTTTTTAAAGAAAAACTGGCATGTGGAGACAGGGATGTTAAAAATGTTTTTATTTTACAACAAACTTGTTAAAACAACAGATGCGTCAGGAGATAGAATTCTTTCAAGTAACAGTAAATTTTACACGCACATGCACACATAAATTCAGTGGATGTTACAGGTTTCTAAACAAGATGGTAAATGTATAGCTTAAATTTACTTCAGTTCCTTAAACTATCTGCAGACATGTTACTGCTCAGGTCTTAATATTTTGGTTCTGAAACAAGTTTGTACCTTCTGCCAGTTTCCCAACCTTCTATAAATCTGGGTCCTGAGGCTCCTCTGTGAGTATACCAGGCCAGGGGATCACTGCACATTCCCCTTCTAACTGGTTTGGGGTTATTATTCTCTCTCCAGAAGATCTTTCCCCTTCTCACTGAATCCAAGTAGAATGTTCCCTCACAACTTCAATTCTTCTTTCTCAAATTCAACTACCCATTTCTCACTTGTTTGTATACTCTTAAAAATTTCTAGCGATTGTCTTTTAATTGAACACCCAGCTCAGGATGTTTCCTCAGGGTGAATTACACATACAGCTCAGAGGCTGGACTACTATCCAGCTGAACTCCAGAAACCCAAACTCTCAACTCTATTTCTTCCCCCCTCCAAAAGTGTTGCATCCATGATAGCTGTACCTGCAGTCAATCTGAATGAGTCACCAACCCAGAACTTTGTGAGATATACCACTTTGGGGGGTTTCTGCTGCACTGCACCACCAAACCCTGGTCTATCTGAGCTTTCCGTCACAGTTTCAATAATTTCTTCCTCACTTTTAAGTCAAAAAATCTTCCACAGTGGCTTACAGACAACCAGCTAAAACAAGTCCACATCATTCAGTTCATTTTAATTCTCCTCTCTTACTACACCACTCAATCATTATCAATCATACTAGAAAGAGAGGAGCTGGCTAATTTATGGTGGGTGATTAAGGGAAGTCCCCATTTCTCTGATTCTCAGATCCTACCTGTGGAATCTTGAAAAGTCCTAAGATGTCTGCCATGCGTGAGGAGGTATCAGAGCTGAATCCACCGATGACTCCAATTACATTTTCCTGGGTGCCACATTTGTAGTTGGGGACAAAGTGATGTGATTTAAAGAGCAGGTCCAGAATGGTGCGATAGGTCATCCTAGAATCAGTATAGCTGTCATAGATGTGGAACCCAAGGGTAACATTGGGCAGGATATTGGGATTATAATTGATCTCATCAATGGCAAACACCAGGGCAAGGATGTGCTGGTAGAACTTGGTCACCACACTACAAATGAAGTTGACATGTCATCAGATAATTAACCAATGCACAAAACATTTTATCACAGTATTTGTCTGCACACAGTGTTCACCTACAGTATTCAGTTGCCTGACTATAAGGAAAAGTTACAACCAGAAAAGTTATTTATCTGACAAGTCCTCTTGAAAACAAAGAAAAAAGTATTGTTGGTAACTTTTGTGTATTGTGCCTTTGGACTTCTACATTACCAAATTAGGCAAGTTTGGTTCAGGCTTCGGACCAACATACATCGTTTTGTATGTCTCAGAACTCACATATTCTGGAAACTGTATAGTATGGGCCATATATTTTCTTGGGTTTTTCAAATCGGTTTTGTTCTTTACTCTGAAATAATTACAGCTTGAAGCATCTAGTCTGTCACAGGGTTATAGCTAAAGGTTTCTGAGAGTTCCTGAAAAGACTGACTGCACTACTAGGCTTCCATGTACCTTCATCATCTAGGTTTTTGATAGTTTGAAACCACAACATTGGAGGCTGCTTTCTTCTGCGTCCCTTTATCTCAGCATTGTCTATATGGTAGCTGGGGAACTTTGGCTCCAACTCCAGGCAGCATGGCAAATGAGGAGGGAATATATAACCTGTAGTCCAGCAACATCTACAACAGGCACTCAATATATATGACCCATACTATACAGTTTCCAGAATATGTGTGTTCTGAGACATACAAAATGAAGACTGAACCAACCTGCCTAATTTGATAATGCAGAAATCCAAAGGCACAATACTCAAACAGGTCCAGGCACTCACCAGGGTTTTAAAAAGGGGTCTTTTCCAACCCTGCCGACTTACATCTGGGCTTAAACTTGGGAGCATTTGTATGCAAGGCATCTGGTGCTGTACCAGCAAATTGTTTGCTGCCCTGGTTGCAGGTTTCTCTTTAGCAACCGATTCCTTAAAACAAATGCATCATTCAAACTAGTCATTTGATATCATAAGCAAGTAGTAGTCAACAGTTTTGTTTTTTTGCATATCAGCTTTTCTTTGGGAAAAATATATTCAATGGGAACAAAGTATGGACTGTTATTTTTCCCTCTCCCCTTATTTTCTCTCTCTTTTATGCTATGCATTCCCTAGTTAGTTGATAATGACAGTAGTAATCCAGTGCCTGAATCTTACCTGGATGGCGTTAGGCAGGGCAGGGATGTGATGTGAATGCACCAACAGATCCTCTCTTTCTCTCACCTTTGTGTCCTCACCACCACCCTGCCTCATTCCAGCTATTAAGCTGGAACCTATTAAGCTGCAGCCATTCTGTCCCCCTTTTCTTTCTTAATTTCTGATATCTCCTCTCCCTCTGTCAGACTTTTCTGTCTCACTGCCTTTCTCCTCCACTTTACTTCCCATTGCCATCCACCAATATAGACCTAGGCTGGGGATTACATAGAGTCCTCAGATGTTACATAGTCATAGACTCACTCTGGGGTTTTTTTAGCCACCTCCCTTTTCTCCATCCTCTCTCCTTTGCCACCAATATAAAATTAGGCTGAGAACTACATATAACCTTCAGGTTGCAAGCTGCTACTTATGAAATACAGAGCTATATAGGTTGAATATAGCTGAATGTGTTCAAATTTTTGGTGGTGGGGGGGATGCTTCCCCTTCCATACTTCCCTCATATACTGAGAAAACTCCCTACCTACATAAGATAATCAGAGCAGAGATTGGTTGGACCATAAAAAGTTAATATTTCTAAATGTCCAATTGACCATAAAGGCACAGTTTACACTCATGGGTGTTTGAGTATTCATTTCCTTATCTAGCCATCTATCATTTTTCTTTTAAAAAAAATCCTAATATATTTTGAAAGCAATACAATCTGCAGTTGGTGATACAAATATCAAGACTAAGCAACACTAAAATAAAATGCCAGGCAATTTTCTTACGTTGGGACATCAGACAAGACCTTAGAAGGGTGCTTGTTGAATGCAAATTTAGGGAAAAGGTAACGCATGAATGATGCCATCCCACCAATGATGAGATTTCTGCGCTCGTACCACTCATGTGGAATATGCACAGGACTATTTCCAGTGCATTTACTAGCATGCGCTTTGAACACTGTGTTTGGGAGGAGCAGGAGCAGGAGCAGCACCAACATCCTGGTGGCAAACATACTTCTGCAGCTGACTCCCCTTTTCTCTCAATCTCTCAGTCTGACTCCCCTTTTCTCTCAATCTCATGCAGGCTGCCGGCCTGATTTCTGCATCCTGTCAGGGATGGAAACAGACTCTGCCGGGGCACCATCATCCAGATTGTCAAGGGACATAGTTGGAAGCTTGAGATTTAAAATGAAATAGAGGAATTTACAGACACCCCCCTTCTTTATACCTAAACTTGGCTTTTAAAAAAACAAAACAAAAACCCACAATGGGCTACATAATGCAATTCCAGACTTGCTTGTTAATCCCCCGCTATGGTTTTACAAGAAAGCCCCTGGAGCTTTGACCAACTGAAGCAATTATAGTTATTTATATAATAACAGAGGACAAAATTATTTTGCAATGAGTTTCAACTCAATGGTTAATCATCCATAGCATAACTGCTGGAGAAAACATGTCTGTTATATCATACAATCTTAGAACTGAAAATTATCTCAAAAATAACCTGGTCCACACCTTGCCCATGCAAGTAATCCACTGCTATACAATTCCTGATAGGTGGGCATCCATCCTCTACTTAAACCTTTATAACAAAGGAGAGTCTACCACCATCTGAGGAAGGCTGTCCCACTGCCCCACTATATAAAAATTATTAGTTAATTAATAATATCTATCAAATATACCTGTCTTATTCTGTTGGTCCATATTGGCAGATGATTAAACTGTGGATCATCCACCATAACATCTAGCATGGAAACATTAAATGGTACACCCTTGGGATGGAAATATCAAAGCTAATATACATCTTACAGCCAGGAACCCTAGATCGAGGAAACTGGCATAACTTGTACTAACATAAATTACACTGGCATATTCCAGACACCATTCAGAAGCCTCCAGGAGGGACTACTGCCAACTGAAGTGGTAGGTGAATGTAAGCCCAAGTTTTTAGGATTGGATCCTAGTTCCCAAGACCCAGCTGAATGGGGTTTAAAACTGATATAAGTCTCTCCATGTCCTGCCCAGTTCTCCACATCCCTGGAACACTGGTGTCAGTTGTTCAGAAAATCAATATCTAAATAAAGCTAAGAAACAATAGTTATCAGAAGCTGAAGGTTCTAGCATTTGTTGACAGTTCTGTGGTTGTTTTGCTGCTTTCTTCACTTGTATTCCCTCGGAGCACTGCTCTGGTGCTTGATATCTCCATGGGTGTTGAGTTCTTACCCATTGCTGGGTTTCAGCTTTTCCTCAAATACTACTTCATTGTTCTGAGGCCTGAGCAGAACACAAAAGGATATAAATAATATCTACAATGAAAAATTGCTAAATATTTTTTTCATTAAATAGTAAATGGTGTTTCTGTTCCATTTATATCATTAGCCTACACAGAAACACAAAAAGAGGCATAATGTAGTGTTGAATTCCTCACTTCAGTTGGAATGATAGACTAGATGGTATCTGAGGACAGTTCCAGCTCCATGCTTCTATGTGATGAACGTTTGTTTCAGCACTTCTGAAACAAACATTTTTTCAGCAGTCCAAAAACATTGAATTTCCTCCTTCATAACCATCTAAATTACTATATTAGATTCAGCTTGCCCAAACTACAGTGGCTTTCCAGACTTCCTGACTTGAGAGTTCCAAAGAGGATCAAATTGATAAACTGTTCAGAAAAACCTGTCCAGTTTCTGGGGACGAGGTTTAACTCCTGAGACATTTAATTTGGGTACCAGGAAGATGAAGCTGGTTCTCCCCAAGTGTTGAAATATATTCGGGATGAATGAGATATGCGAGGGCGCACAGCAAGACGCTTGTGTACGCTGGCAGCCCACCCCATACCCTCAATGCAGGAAGGGGAATTCACTGACAATCTTTCAGTGTATGGCCAGTGACTCCCCTTTAAGAGAGGACCCTGGAATCACCTCCATGGGGAGGGGTGAGTCACCACTTCACACACACACCTCATTTAGGGAAGATAGACTAAAGGATTCCTCCCAAGGCCTAAAACTGCTAAAGTTGTGACGAATTGCTACGGGGAAGGCAAAACCTGCCAATGCAGGGAAATTCCTTCCTGTCTCTTCAACAGCAACCATCCAAAGACCATAGCAGCACCCGCTGAACAGGAAGGAAAATGGTTAACCTGCAAACAAGCATTAGACAAAGGGAGGGTTGGGTGGGTGAAGCGCCAGAGCTTGGTTGTTGCTGCCACCTCCGCCTTCTATTTAAGCAACTGGCCCTGCCTCCTTGAAGGGCTGATTGGCTAACTGAGATTTGGTGGAAACCTCTAATGACTAACACAGGGAGGCAGGCCAGCCCAACCAGCTGGTGGGTCCCACATGGGCCGAGGTGCTGCGTGCGGTCCTGCAAAGAGCCCCCACAAAGGAAGGTGTTAGTGCTTATTATTGGAAATAAGAGTTGCAACAAACACACGTTCAGACATGTGTTGTTGTTGTTTTATTATCTCCACACCAGTTATTCTATTTCTTGCAGAAGAGTATGTTGAGGTTCTTGTGTGCGGTATATGTGTATGAGGGTTCTGGTGTATACCTTACCAAATATATCCCTGCTAGGTCACTTCAGGACAACCTGTTAATTGAGTGTTCATCCTGATTTGTTTGAGAACATTGCATCAAGCATATATTATTTTCTGATGTGTTTCTTCATCATTTTTATTATGATAAAAAGTCAGATTTGGGGAGGGACAGTTTTGTTGAAGGGTTGTTGCAGATGGACACAATATCAGCATTAATTGTATAACCTGAATTTTCTGGTATGTGTTTGGATCTCATCCAAATATAGTGACAGATTGGAAGCCCTCATAGGCCAATGGTGTGGTGGTTGCAAACTGAACTAACATAAATATTATATCTGAATCTAAGTGTTATAGATTTATCCTTCATTTTCTATTTTTAAAAAGGATGCTTTAGCTTTTAGTGGGGTTTGGTATGCTCACCAGTGAGGATTTTAAACAGACAAATTTTAAAGTAGATGGCCAACTTTTGAATTTTAGTAGATGTGGACCACCAGCAATGGCCTATATTACAGTTGGAGGGCTATTCAAACTCTATCATTCTATGGTATGACAAATATGTTTTCTGCAGTAGTTATAGAAACATATTTTCAGCAGTCCAATGCTTTGCAGAAGTGATTATCTTCTCTGTAATTATCTAAAACACTATAATTGAAATCACAATATGAAAGCTCCAATGTGTATGTATGAAAGGAAAGAATTCAAGTCAGAAATCGTTTTAAGTACTCCAGAAATCCATAAACTGCTAAGATTAGAGATATGAGAGAGAGAGAGAGAGAGAGAGAGAGAGAGAGAGAGAGAAATGGGGCCCTGTCATTTTATTTTAAAAAAAACCCTATCCTTTCATAGATTGTTCAATTTTTGTCTCTTAATTGTCATTCAAACCATGCAAATTTAAGCCATGATTTTGCTACGCTGCTGTGGTTATGGATAAGGTGCATTAATGTTTCTCTGAGTAGTGCATTAGAAGAGTACAGCTATCACCCAAGGTGTCATGTTTAGTTCAGGCAGAAGAGAGCAGAATGGAGTTGTAGCCTGAAACAGGACAGTCCATGTTCAGGGGGACGTTTAGTGTCATGATGCTGCTTTGCCTGCTTCTTCTCTCAAATATGGTATGCAAAGTGAATACTATTAAGTGTGCGAGAAACAGTGCTGTGTATATTCCGCATGAGTGGTACGAGTCTGGAGATCTCCTCATTGGTGGAGTAGCAACTCATATCAATTACATTTTCCCCAAACTTCTTTTCAATGAGCACCCTCCTCAGTTCTGGGTTGATGTCCCATTGTAAGTAAACAGGCTTTTTCATTGTGCTGATACTTGTAATTCTATGGATGACTGTAATGTACTCTGATTGCTTTGAAAAACAGGAAAAGAAGACCCTATTTCTGGTCAGAAAATGAAATGCTCAAAACTAAGCGTATTGTCTCCAGGTTTCAGAGAGGTGGCCTTTTCAGAGAGGGGAAAGAGGGAGAGAAAACTGGGTGGCAGAAAGAGATGAAATGAGAATGGAAGGCTCTGGCTACTTTAGGTTCTGGTCCAACCCTAAAAGTAGTTTTGCGAGGGAATTGTTTCCAGATGAGATGTCAAAAACATATGGACAACTTGTAATATCACCAATCTCTTGACCACGCCATTGCTTAAAAAATTGCAGTCTAACTTTGACTAACTTAGAAGATTCTTCCCTCTCTCCATACTTAGGCAGCTGACTTGTCAAACACTGCTAAATTGATGCAGAGTACACTGTTTTCATTCTCCCCTGAAATAGCAAGTGACTTTATTTGCAGCATGGTGACCAAGTTCTATCAGCATGTCCTGTCCTTGGCATTTGCTGTTGACAAGATCAATGAGAATCCCAAGATCTTGCCCAACATCACTCTCGGGTTCCACATCTACGACAGCTATGCCAAAGCAGGGTTGACCTACCGTGCCACTCTGGACCTGCTCTTTAAATCACATCAGTTTGTCCCCAACTACAGATGTGACATCCGGGAAAATGTAATAGGAGTCATCGGGGGGCTAAGTTCTGACATCTCTTCCTGCATGGCAGATATCCTGGGTCTTTACAAGATTCCACAGGTAGGAACTGAAGATTGTTACGATCAGGCTTTCCTCTCATCGCCCCCACAATTCACCAAATTTCACCAAAAGTTGCTCCAAATGTTGGAGGGGTGAATATTGAATGGAAAACTACTGTGTGGATGTAAAAAGTGGGGGACATCATCCTAAATAGAAGAACATTGGGGATATATAGGATCATAACTTTATGAAAATAATTATGTAAATGAGAATATAATGACCTTTGTTACCATTCCAAAATGTCTGTGTTTTTCTTTCCCTTTAGATTTCATTTGGTTCATTTCAACCAACACTGAATTATCCAGCTCATTTCATTTCATTTTACCGTATGGTTCCTAATGAAGACCTTCAGTACCAAGGAATCATTGAGTTATTTCAGCACTTCAAATGGAAATGGGTAGGGCTCATTGCTCAGGATGATGAAGGTGGAGAACGTTTCTTGCAAACGATAGAGCCAATGCTTTTCAAGAATGGAATCTGTTCAGCATTCACAGACAGAAGCAAAAAAACAATGCATTTGTCCAGCAATGCACGTGAATTGATTGACAATATACGCTTTAAAATGCCAGCTTTCATATCAAGCAAAGCCAGTGCAGTTCTGATATATGGAGAAAGTGCAGCCATAACATTTACAGGGAATATTATAGCAGCATCCAGAATAATGCAAGTAATATTTTCTCAACACAGATCTAGAGCTAAAGTTTGGATTACTACAGCCCAAATAGATTTTCCATTATATAGGTGGCAAAGCTTAATTACCACAGATATACAAACATTTCATGGTGCTATCTCATTTGCAGTTCACTCAGAAGAGATTCAAGACTTCAAATACTTTCTTCGGGGTGTATATCCTAATTGGGCAAAGGAAGATGGTTTTATAAAAGATTTCTGGCAACAAGCATTCGGATGTTCATTTTCAAACTCCACTGTGTCCACAATCACTGGAAAAATATGTACAGAAGAGGAAATGCTGGAAAGCCTTCCTACACCTTATTTTGAAACGAGCATGACTGGCCACAGCTACAGCATCTATAATGCTGTGTATGCTCTGGCACATGCCTTACATATCACATATTCAGCTAAAGCCAGCCACAAGGAGGTCAGAGGCAGCTTGTCTCCACAAAATATGGAAGCCTGGCAGGTACTGATTTATCTTAAGGCATATGTCCAGCTTGTATACAAGTCTTTGATTGATTGATTGATTTGATTTGTTACGGCCATTGGCCCATATTTGTATACAAGTCTGAATCTTTACATTTACAGATAGGTAGCCGTGTTGGTCTGCCATAGTCAAAACAAAAAAAATCCTTCCAGTAGCACCTTAAAGACCAACTAAGTTAGTTCTTGGTATGAGCTTTCGTGTGCATGCACACTTCTTCAGATACACACTATGTGTATCATACCAAGAACTAACTTAGTTGGTCTTTAAGGTGCTACTGGAAGGATTTGTTTTGTTTTGAATCTTTACATGTAACTCTCACACATCTGTTTTAAGGACTTTTCACCACTGACCTTCAGAAATGTTCGAGGATTAATGTAGCCAATGATAACAAATATAATCCTAACTGTATCAAAAATTGAAATTGTTATATTTCTTATATATAAGGAGATATTAATTGCTGCAGGTTTCCCTATGCAACACATCAACAACTGGCAACAACTCCCACCCATCTGCAGGGAGTCCATCTAAGGGCAAACCACCAATAGGGGGAGCCCTATGACTTACATCAAATAGGGAAACCTCGAGGGGTCCCCTAGCCCATGTCCGGGCATCAGACAGAATCCACACACCCAGATCCCTTTAGCAAGATACCCTTAATGAGAAGGGGCAGGTGAAGCCTACAACCTCCCCTCCATCCAAACAAGGACTTATCCAATGCCTAACCTCACAAAGTTGTGATTATTGCTACAAGGTAGGTGAAAACCAAATGGCTGGTGCCAATTTGCCAAGCGGAAAAAATTCCTACCCAGACCGAACAATATGGTAGCTGACATTTGTCCATAGAAAGGTTGTGTCATAGCAAAGCATAAAAAGTGGGAGATCTGGTGAAGGGTGTGACACTTTAAGATTCCTGTAGCCACGCCTCCCAGCAGTGCTGATTGGACAGTGAGGCCACCTCTAGGCGGGGCCCGATCAGCACTGGTGACACAACCTGGACAGTGACTGGGGGGGGAGTCAATCTCTGCCCACCGCCAGATCACTGCAGGGGCCCTGATGCCTGGCCGGAGG